ATTTTTAAGGAAAACATTTTCCTGCTTTATTCTCTCTTGTTTCTCCAGCTGTCTTGGTATTGCAATTGTTTGTTATTTTATTCAGATTAAATGTGTATGCAAAAGAAGAAAGAAATTCTTATTCCAACAAGACTCTGGAAAATTCAGTATATACTGCAGGAAAAACACTGCATGGCTTATAAGCAGATCAAAACCTCAAAGCCTTATGGACTTTTTTGAGAGAAAAAGAATAACCTGAAATTATTTTCTTGGCAGATAATAAGCTCTACTACTCGCGTGTTCTAACCTTGCATTCTTTAATGGCAGAGTTAGCTTGTAGCAAAATCTTTTTAATGTTTTTCTGAATGATTTATGGCTTCCCTTGGTGAATGGCAGTTTTAACCAGTTGAAGTGACCAGGGCAAAGATTCTCAGGTTCTTTAAGGATGCTGGATTTGTGTCCAGTTTTCTTCATGACATTTTATGGCCTAATAACTGAAATGCATCTCATGTTTAAGAAGGCTTTCTTCCTAAATGCAGGCAAACTTACTTGTGAACAGATCTCAGGAGCAGAATACTATTACTTGCATAGCTAGTCAAAGGCTTTGTTGGCTATTAGCACAAAAAAGCTATTGTGATATTCATAATTCCCTAACCATTGCTAGGGAGCAAAGTTTGCCTTCCATCCTATACAGTAATTTCCTAGATATATTTTTATTTCTCTTTTTTTTATTATTATTACTATTATTGGTATTAACCTTGTATGTTTGGAAGAGCCTCTATGTTTCTGTGCCCAGATTTGGTAACGAATTAGCCCACCAAGGGTTTGATTCACTGCTGCCTCATCACAGCTTTATGCCACCGTAGTTGTGCTGATTGCAAAACACAGCTTAAAAGCCAGGGAGCACGGTGCAGTCGTTAAGATCTAAATCTTAATTGAAATGGTGCTCATTGAGTTTAATTCCTCTTTACAAAGCCAGAATAAGAGCAAGGAGCCGGAGGCTATTAGGAAATCAGTGGAAGTGCTTAGGTAGACAAATTGGGTATGTGGGATAGTTACCAGCAAATTTTGGAGAACACTCATCTTCTGATATGAATATGGTTTTTTATCTCTCTTTTCTGATTCCAAGACTTGAAAGCATGTAAGAGTATGAATGAATATTGGGAACAAGGACAAATATCTGCATGTTAAGACTATATTAGCAATAGGGAAGACAGGGAGCTCAATTGAGATTGAAACTAGAAGTAGTTAAAGTGGCATCAAAATACTTAATGTTTTCATAAAAGGCATCCTTGCAATCCATATCTGATCTTGCAAAAGTACACACGTATACACACATCCTTCTCAATAAGCTGTATAAAATTACTAATGTGTTTAAATATGTGGATTGCCTTCTCTGTATCGATTTAAGAATCTATAGGTGCCTCTTCATGTCAGAATTCTTCCTTTAATCTGTTCCTTAGTATATGCCATATGTAAAATGTCTATCAAAACAATTTCCACAAAAAGACACTGTGAAATATCAGGCTATTAGAAGCCTTTTGAAAAGGGAAATTCATAGAAATATGCAATATATGCTTGATCCAGTCTGTTCATCCACACTGATAACAAAGTAAAATGTTTGACGGTGTCCCTTTATTTTCAATATCAATGCTCCAGTGTTTCAAAAAGAATCATTTAACAAGGAATAATGTTTGATTGTAGATCTCTGCGGTAAATTAAAATATCCTAATTTAATAGAGTATGATCTGTTATTTGCCAACAAATATACAGATTGCATTATAAATCATTCAGTAGGGTGGTTATAGAATAACACTATGCTGAATTATATTTCATTACTGCCTATTGAACAGGCATGTTTCTGCCACATAATGTAATTTTCCATCTTTTAACTTTGTTTCTTTCACTAACAGAAAATACAAATTAGTCCCGAGGAAAAATATTTACTGGGGGCAGGCAATTAACTAAGCATTTCAGGGAGTGGCACCAAGTATGTGAAAATCATTATAACTTTTTTTTTTCTGTTCCTCACTTCTCTGCATCTAACTTTTTGTATTTAATAAATAATAATGAGTATAAAGGCACTCAACAGGAACTCAGCAACAACAGGTAAGCCTATGGATAAATGTGCCTCCAGGTATAATCTTTTTGTGAAGCTTGTTCTCTTCTCATATGACACCTACTTTTCAGAAGTTTTTCTTTAAATTATTTTCTGAACTCTCTGCTAATGATCCAGTATACTTGAAGTGAAGTACAGCTGCTAACAAACAAGTTTTGTTATTGCTTCATGACTACTTGGCCTGGTTATATTGATTAAATTTCATGTTAAAAAATCATATGTTTCCAAAAGATGGAGTGGGAAAGTTTTGGAAGGAGATGAGGCCTTTTATACTGATTGAAAATAGCTTAGAGATTACTAGGGGAGTGTAATGGAATTAAAGAGCTAAAATAGTATTGCACCTAAAATAGTTACTACAATTAAGAAAGACTTGCAGAAAATTAAGACATCTTCTGGAACTGAAGAACTGAAAGGCTTTTTCACAAAAAGTATATCCTATTTTTTCATATTCTGCAGAAAGAATATTTGAACATGCTAGGTTGCTACCGTACTTCGGGCCATGTTTTTTTAGTACCTACTTTAGCACCTACTGATTAGATGGTGCCTAGCTGAATTTTTCAAGTGCTTGCTTAATTCTTTTTTTGGGGGGAATGCGGAGACCTTGTTTTGGATGACCCTTTATCTTCTTAAATCTTTTTGAAAATTTTGATGATATAATGAAAGTCTATTGACTGGAGGTCCTAAAGGTTTGAAGTTCAAGTGCCTGAGACCCATTACCTCTCTTTGGGGCAGGCATCTAAGGCAGACTTGAGCACGAGAGAAAACACAAGGATATATTTGCAAAAAGCCTACTAATCACTAGGTAAAATTTGTCATGAACAAGTATATCTCATACTACTATAACCAGAATAATGTGCAGTTAACTGTTTCATCTTTTTAGCTCTTTAGGGGTTTCAGAATTTTCTTTCATCTTTTCAGATGGGATTCTCTAACAAGCTCAGCATTGGCCTCACACTGTTCTTGTAGACATCATTGGGTGTGTTATCTTGGGCTTACTGGGAATAATTAGAACAAACCTGAGCACACGGGAAAATCCCTGTTGACCTATTTTGCTGTTTCTGACAGTTAAAATTTTTGAAAGTTTAAGGAAGGAGTCACTTTTTTTTTTAATGGAAAAAAAAAAATCCAGCTGAATATTCATCCACAGACGAATCCACACGAAAAAATAAATAAATAAATGTCAGCCCAAGTTTTTCCTTTTAATTATTTAAAAAGCTGATGTGAGGCCCTACAGTCTTCCCTTTACCGCCCAATGCATGTTGTTCCTGTTTCTTGTTCCTACAAGCCCCCTTGATTATTCCTCAGGGGGAGCGCTCATTTCATCTTTAATGAGATCTGAGAGCATTTGGGTTCAGTCAGGGGGTGCTGTAGTGATCTAGCAAAGGAGTAACCCTGCTGTATTTCATTTTGTTTTCTATTCACAGCTGGACAGTGCCACCTCCCTCATCCAGGCAGCTAAAAATCTGATGAACGCTGTGGTCCTTACAGTGAAAGCATCCTATGTGGCTTCTACTAAGTATCAGAAGGTCTATGGCACTGCAGCCGTGAACTCACCAGTTGTGTCTTGGAAGATGAAGGCCCCTGAGAAGAAACCTCTAGTAAAGAGAGAAAAACCAGAAGAATATCAGACAAGAGTGAGAAGAGGGTCCCAGAAGAAACATATTTCCCCTGTACAGGCCTTAAGTGAATTTAAAGCGATGGATTCATTCTAAAACACCAAGCTTTAGCAGGAGGGTTTTATATTCTTTTTGTATGCATACCTGCCGACTTGTATGCGTCTGGCATGGGGTGGGGGGGGACTAACGAAGCAGTGTCAATTTGCATGCAACCTCTATTAATGTAGCTAACTAACTTTCTGCGACACCAAAATTTAGGGCATTCTCTTCTGATGTTAAATGGAGCTATTCCAAGCTGACTTTTTAAACTAAGCTATAGCATTAAATTGGCCAAAGAATTTGCATCACAAGGGTGTATATGGGTTAAGTAGTAAATTCAAGTCTAAACCCAGAAATCTGTATGCATGCAAGAAACATTAGGTTGGCAGGTGTATTAAGTGAAAAAATGGAATTGTAATGGTAGACCATAAAGCTTGTATTGCTTCTGTTCCAGTGCAAAAATGTACTAGCCAATATGCTTAAATGTGTGGCCCAATAATTGAATGATATAACTTTTAAGTCATCTTCATTATAGTATGTGAATTTTTAAAATGGTTAAAAAATAACTCATCTTAAAAACGATTCTTTTAGACGATATTTTGTTCTTTATATTCTAGTAGTGTTATGATTGCTCACATTTCAATTAATCCCATTAATATGAACAGAGGTTTACTTTTGCCAATTGAATTCCTTATGGTGGAGTATGAAGCACAATATGGTGATTGACATTGCCTTTTATATTATGATTATTATGATTATGATTATTATATTAGTAATAGAAGATCTGGTGGTGAAATGTGTAGAGACACGGAAAATGTGAGAATTTAGAGGCGAATATGTAGGTGTAGTTTGGATTACAGGTATCTGACATACCATTGTAACCACTAACTCAATAAACTCATTTAACCTTGGAATCCTCAATATGGTTTGTCTCTTCTAAGGTGTGTATGCGTGTCCTGCATCAGAGTTGCGAGGTAGACAGTGATTAATTTTGTCTTATGCTTCCCTTTTCTTTTTGTGAAGGAAAAACAAATATTACACTCATTTTCTCATTTTTTACAGCCAAGATAACAAAACATGGTCACTGGATGAAAAAGAGCTTAAATCTGTACCTGAGACATACATATGAAATATGCAATGAAATTCTTAGTCTGCATACTTACTCATTTCATAGATAACTAAGAAAAAAATTGCCATTGAATAGCCTACCATAAGATGTGTCAGAAAAGAATGAAACAATGCCTTAGAAATAATATCAAGATAGTTTGATTTATTAAGTTTGCAAGCTTGATATCTAAGAACCTCTGAAATAATCTCCCTGTGCTGTGTGGTACAGCACTGTATAAAAAACATTGCATAGAAGAATGCAATATCTACTTTTCCTTGCTTTTAGCCCCAGCAATTGTCTGAACAGCATAGATTGTATCATTGTTATGAAAAGGTTGTGGTATATTTGAACATAAAGCAATGAGTATGTATTTATTTTTGTAGCAACTAAATAATAACAGCTTAAGTGAGCATCCATGACCTCATAAGTGATTTGAAACAGTGCGAGAAACAGTGAGAAATGTCATAAATGACACATATATCCCACAGAGTATTTTTAAGAGCAGTGGCTGTATGCTCATCTTATGCTGATTATTCCTCAGAACAGCAACATACCAAATAAAATACTGTCTCCATTCCAACAAATCCATATGAAGAAATGTACTCTCAAAAGCTTTTTAGCAAATTATGCTTTTTGCTTCATTTGGTTATATTGAATGATATAATGGTATCTCAAACAGAATTGGAGATTCTTTGTTCTCATGATCAGTGTATATAAATACCTAAAAGGAGGGAGTGAGGAGGATGGGGCCGGGCTCTTCCCAGTCGTGGCCACTGATAGGACTAGAGGAAATGGCCTTGTGAGCCACGTGCTCTAGGTGACCCTGCGTGTGCAGCGGGGTTGGACTAGATGATCTCTAAAGGTCCCTTCCAACCTTAACAATTCTATGATTCTGTGTAATTGAAACACATCAGAAGACCTCGAAGAACTTTCCTGATACTACATCGTAGTCTGAAATTGATTTGCCTTATGTGTTGTACCAGAAAACTCCCTAAAAGTAATTAAGATCTTTACAGAATAAAATCATGGAGTCAGAGGATGGATGACAAAATTTAAAGTAAAAATAGCAAATAAAAGCCAATTAGAAATGTCTCAGTTAAAAATGGCATATTAAAACTGGGAACTAACCCCAAATAAAAGCATTAATGCTTCTATATGAGTGCTTTGAGTATAGAACTGTGATGAACTAACTCACTGTTTTAAAACTATATAGTTCTTTAACAGGCATCTCAGAGTGTTTAGGGGAAACAGTATAGACAAGGCAATCTATTAATGTGTGCTATAGAATCTCCACTGATTATAGCTCCCTGGCCAAGGATGAAGATTGTAATACAAGGAATCCATTAGCAGTCTTTCAACCAAAATAGTGGCATTGTCTGCAAAATGCTAAGGAAGATTAAAGTCCATGAGGGTAAAACCCAAAATAATATTATCAACTGAATTCATTTGAATTTGACTCAAGGATGGAGTCTTTGCCTTGTGAAGGGACCGTCTTTGCCCTAAGTTTCTTTGTGGTAAATAGAATTTAGTGTTGAATGTACATGAAAATAAGAACCAAAAACACTTCAGACTATATCAATTAAGTGTTAAGAACATGTAATAATGTCAAAGCTATGTTAAGACTGTGAGAAAAGATTTGAAAAGAAGAAAATATCATTACTTGACACTATGTATTAGGGATGTACATGTATTTGAATGCTTCATGCAGTTTTTTCAACTCAACTGAAAAAAGGAAATGGAGCATAGAAACATACAGGGAAAAATGAGAGGGAAGGTTAAAAGTCTGGAAAAACTTTCATATAAGGAGACACTACATTTAGGACGTAAATTTTCTTCAAGGTGAGTCTGGAATTTCTTCAGTGGTGAGTCTGCACAATATATAAAGAGCAAATAATCACTAGTCCTTACAACTCAGGAATGTTGTGTGACACAATAAATTATTAAACAGCTGTGTGGGTTACAAAGCATTGAAATTGGTTGCCCCGAGAGGTTGTGGAGTATCTTTGGACATATTCAAACCCTGAGTGCACAGGGTCCTGGGCAGCCTGCTCTAGGTGACCCTGCTGGAGCAGGGTCGGTGCATATCCAGAGATCCCTCTCAACTTTGACTATTATTGATTCTGTGATTCAGTGATGTAATTGTTTTCTATTTCTAGAAAGTCCAGTTATGTGTTTCTTGATCGTATAATTTGATCATGTTCCAGTTTTACAATTTTATTCTTCAGCAAATGCAATAGCTGAATTCTGAATTAAGAAGTCAGAGAAAACATAGAAAGCCTGAGAACTTAGATACATTAGCAGAATCTTTTTCTTAAAATTATTTGTCCTTACTGGTTTATTTATTAAATTAAGAAATAGAAAGTTAAAAGAAGTATTAAAATAGGGAACTATGAATTCTAGGTCAACCAGCTGCCAGACAAAACATACTGCTACAAAGAAATACGGGTTTCCGGTGGGTCAAAGAAATGAAACCTGCATATGGTTGTATAAAAGGACATTATTCTTACATAGCATTTTCTCCTCCTTAATCCCCAGTGATCTCCTTGACATCGTTAAAGTGCTATGCTGCATATAAATGACAGCATTCATATGCCTGAAGTTGAACAAATGCTTTGATAATGAGGAAGTAGTGGATAAAACTTAGCACAGATTACTTCTGATCCAGTATTTTCTTGCTACAGTGTCTTCAGATTACGAAATGCTGATCAGTAGTTCAGTTCTTTTACATTTTAAAAAGAGATGAACCAAGTGGAAACACAGTACAGGAAACAACCCCCATAAACAAAACTACTGAGTAAATGTTTTTATATCTGTTGTCTTATATCCGCCCCAATAAAGTTGACCAAAACAAGTTTTCTGTGTTTATGAAACTTGAGTTTAATAGAGAAGGTCTATATATATAATCCCCTGACACATCTATATATAAAACTGTGTATTTGAATTATATTTTCAAGCAAGAATGGATTTTTAATCGACTTCCCCATACGAATCTAAATTAAATGTTTATTACTGAAATAAGGCAATTCATTTCCTTTCACTCTACTTATAAAAAACCCTTCAAATAATCTTTCAAAGGAAGACTTTGTTGTTTAATTATTTTAGCAAGGCAGAAAATGAATATAAGCATGAGGAAGTAAAGAAGCTGGCCCAGAAAAGGGGAGAAGATTTCCTGTTAAACCTTTGTTGGGAATTTGTCTAGAAGAGGACACTCAAGGATGAAACTTCATCCAGCAATGAGCAGATTATCCTATGTCCTGTTAGTGATGAAAAGTTCCAACTTTTTTTCAACAATTTCTAAGCCAAAGATAGCACTCTTGCAAATGCTAGATGATTTTTCTTACATTAACTTTACTTCAGTTTTTCAAGCAACTTTAGAAGGATTTTAAACTTTTTTTTTTTCACTTCTACCCTTTGTTTCCACCACTTAAGCACCTGAATATGAGCATTCAAAAACAGTATCAAACTGAAGCATTTATTTGGCAAGTAAGCACATGCTGATGCTTGCTGCTGAACGGCACCTGCAGAGATAAGGAATAGCCTCCGGGATTTTCTGCTTTCTCACTGAATGACCAGTGACATCTTCAAGTGAAGGTTCTCACATTTTTTCCTTCTTTTGATATTTTTTCCTTTTATGACTCAGTTAACTGGTGTTAAGCTTGGGAGAACTTGACAGCTTGATAAAAGCTGTGGGAGGTAGAAACGTCGTATTTTCCTGCTCCAGTTATACCTTTAGTGGAATAAATATATAATTGCTTGAGCACTGCTTCCTTTCTTTGATAATGTCAGGTGGGATGTCAGAGGTAAGTAGATACCACTCAATATTGGCCTCTCCCTTTGGGTAAGATTTCAAAACTCCAATGTTATTTTGGTAATTTCTGAGTAATAATGGATTTTAAAAGAGATGTATCCAATGCAGAATATTTTTTTTATTTTTTTTTCACTTAGTTGCTTCATCACAGCTTGCTAAAAATTAAAGAAAAAGAAGAAAGAGACATAAAGTGATGTTTCCTAATGCTGATGTTATATTCAGAGGTAATTACTTTGCTAGAAGGACGTGTTTCATCTGGTCTTTTGCTTCTGAAACTTTTCAAGCAGAAATTATTAAAAAATACTGAGAGTTTTGGCATGCATTTTTACTAGGTCAAATTAAATTACATCTCCCCACTATACTATATATTTTACTATATATATTTTTAATACTATTAACGGGATCTCCATCTGAATTTCTGTCATTTGACTGGTATGATGATCACTGGAGCAGCACACATACCTCGAGGTCGACATGCCCCTAACTAAGCATTAACCATCGAGCAGCTGGAAACCAACATTCATCAGCAGACAAGGGGTGACAAAGCTTATTTACCTATTCCACCCAGAAGTGTGCTTACTACTCAATACTGCTCAATAGCCTTCTGTCACTGCTCTGGCTTGCAAGTAACCTCTTGAACTGTGGAGTATATATTTTTGGCCACATGCAAGTCAAGCTTGCTTCAGCACAACCACAGGCTCCTTGTTTTCATTACCCTGTCAGCAGCTCTATGGTCCAGCATTTTTCAGTGTTACGCAGACCTGCGTAGGCAACCTGCAGGAGCTAGCAGAGACTCTGCTGCTTGTCATATACAATTTTTATGATCAATTAGAACCTAGCCTACAGCTGAGACCTTAAGGAAGATCCATTATTGGGGCCCAGACTGGGGAATAAATTAGATCACTAGACTTTGTCACCGAGCTGTGTGAATACTTATGTGCCTCCCTGTTTCATTTGTCCCTTAAGACAGGTTTTTAAATCTGCAGTATGCACAGCCAACAGGTC